GGAAACCCTATGGGGCAGTTTCACTCTGTTCTATAGGGTCACTATGAGTTGGAATCGACTCCATGGCAAGGAGTTTGGTTTTGTTTTCTGGAATCTTTACAGAAGCAGATCGCCAGGTCTCTGGGTGGGTTGGAACCGCCAACCTTTCGATTAGCAGCCAGGCACTTAACCACTGTGCCACCATGGCTCCTTCCTTCCCAGTTACCTACCCGTACATAATATTCATTTTCTCAGACTTGTTATTTTCAAACAAGAGAAGCAGAAACATAAATTTGAAATAATTTCAGCTACAACATTTTTATGTATTGCTATACCAAATGATCAATATTCACTAATATTTTTATTTCTCTTTTTATGACCATTTCTGACTTCAAAAAAATTTTTTTTATTTGAACACTTTACATTAAGAATAAACTAGAAAACTTGTGGTTCTAATAGTCTAATGGAGGAGAAATAATTTTTTTCATATGAAGTTTACTATGATAACCAGTGTAAGCGGTTTGATGCATGAAGGCTGCCACGTCATGCCAAAGTCAGTAGGTTTATTTTATTTCTTCTAATTTTGCACCTGTGAGGCACACATGGGGTCGCCATGTGTCAGAATAGACTTGAGGGCAACGGGATTTGGTTTTTGGTTTTGGGGGTAATATACTGACAGTGGGGAATGGGGAATTCAAATAACTTAAGGTGTATCATCAAACAATATTAATTAAGCAACCATCACACACACTGAAATTTCCCAAAGTGGGGTACAAGGTATAGATTTTGCAAAACAATGGCTCTATCTACCTCATATTGCCTGAAATTTCTACCTAGCGATCTTTAGCTATAAAGGAGCCCTGCAGACGCAGTAGTTAAGTGTTTGGCTGCTAACCCAAAGCTTGGAGGGTGGAACCCACCAGCAGCAACATGGGAGAAAGATGGTGGCAGTCTGCTTCCCTAAAGATTTACAGCCTTGGAAACCTGTGGGGGCAGTACGACTCTGTTCTATAGGGTCGCTATGAGTTGGAAGTGACTCAAAGGCAATGGGTTTTGTTTTGTTTTGTTTTGAATCTTCAGCCATAGCTCTTAAAGGATTTTTATGGAGATCGTGGATTCTCTTTCATAGAATTTTAAAAATAAATTTAAAATTCAAGCAAGGTGGTCCCAAGCCGTATAATTTCAAGTAAAAACAAAAGTGAATAATTCAACATATTTATTGTGCTCTTACAATGTTTGAAGCCTTGTGCTAAAGTATGATATAAGGTTGATTCTGTTGTGGAGAAGCACAAGGAAAGGCACTTTTACAATAGCATGTTATTGTCCAGCAATAATTCTGAAAGCTGCTCCTTTCAAATTTAATAACTATTTTGCTACAGCAGAGACTAATATTTTGCAAAAGATGCACTCAGATTTCTCAATCTGGGTTAACCTCACGGTTGCTAAAAGGGTATACGCCTTTTCTGGATTACTCATTTAAAAACAATGAATATTGTCTCAATTTCAGACCACGTGTTCTAGTTTTAGGTTAACAAAAAATAGTCACATTATTGCTGACCCACATTACCTGCCCACTGACTAACTTCCTACTAACAGCTCTATGTGGGCATCTAGGAAGCGAGCGCGGGAACCTACGTGGGTTTAAATCCCAGTGTGATCTGGCGATAGTCCACCTACCTAAATCTTGTTTTCCACGACACCACAATGCCAGGCTGTATTAGATAGCCTCTTCAAGGTCCCTTGCATATGCAGACTTCTGCCATTAAAACGTAACACTCCTCGGGAGCGAATTCTCCTAAAGCTCATGTGGGATAACAGCTAGCTGAAGGCCAAGACAAGCGCAGAGTAGAAACGAACCTGGTTTCTCTCTGAAAAGCTTTCCCAGGGAAAGCATCCCGCGCCAGCAACAGAGCGCGCCTCGGTACCACGTGTCTGCACCGGCAGCGGGATTGGCCGAGCGCATTTTAGCGCTGCAGTCTAGACGTGCCGGAGGCCGCCCAGCTGCCAGAGGAGCCGGGACTGGGGAACGAGAGGCCGCAGGCCGAGCGCCGTGGGGCAGGGGGCGGGAGGGGGGCGGGGGATCCCGAGGCCGGCGGCCTGGAGTCTGTGAGGGCCCGAAGCGGCGCCAGCTGTCCTGCCCTGCCACAACTTGCCCTGACGAGACAAGATCCATCCTGCGCCCTGGAAGAAAGAGCCGGCCTGTCTCTCCCAGCTCTGCTTCTACGCCTCCGCGGGCACCGCCTGCGCCAGCAGCTCCGCTAGGGTCTCAGCCCCCTTGTCCGCCCCCGTCTTCCCGCAGCGCCCGGCACCGCCGAGGAGCGCGCAGCCGGGGTGAGCCGGGGGCCGGGATGCGCGAGGCGCCCGCGGGAGCGAGCGGCGGACGGTGCATCTTGGCGCCCGCAGAGCCGGGCCCTCTTCCCGCCTTCCCCGCTGCGAGCCGACAGGCTGCCCTCTGCAGCTCGCGCTGGCGTGGCCGCCGCAGCCCCCTTTTCTCCTTTGCTGGCCAAGGAGGGCTCCGAGGCCCGATCGGAGCCGGCAGACCCCAGGCTTTGTCTTTGCGAGATTGGGGGTCGGGTCGCGCCGGGACTGGAGGTACTACGCCGGGTTCGGGGCGGGCGACCGTGAGAAGGGGAAGGGACGGGAAAGCATTGCCCCTTCTTTCCTGTTCCGGCCATTTTGTGACTGAAATCCGACCAAGGGGGCTAGGGTGGGCCAACAGCTCAGCGCCCCAGGCCCGAGTGGTGATGGCGAACCGAGATACGCTAGCCGCGGCGGGGGCGCCTGGCCCCCGCGCTTCTCCTCACCGGGACGGCAGCTGGGGCGCATGGGGCTGCACCCCACGTTTAGCCCCGCGGGCCTTGGCCCAGAGCGTGGGTTAATCGCGCTAAGAGCCTAGAGCACATAAAGGAGTAAGAGGCCGGGAGCCGAGATTTACTTAATTAAGCGCCTAATTCATTCGATCTTTATTCATGTACTTAACGTCCTCTCTCTGCGGTCCCGTGCCAGGTCTGGGGATATAGAGGTGAGCAAGAGAGACCACCGCCGTTGTCCCCGCTGAGCCTGCAGTCCAGTGGATGGAGCCCACAGGACAAAGACCTGCCAGGTCGGTATCCTGACGCCCTTAAACAGACAGGGAAAACTGAGGCCTACGATTTTCTTAAAGGCCAGGCAACAAGTAAATGACAGAGTCAAATTTGAACCTAGGTGGTTAGGACTTTTACACCAGGCTGGCCGGAAACGTTGATAGTTTTTTTTTTTTTTAATTTTTTTAACCCCAGAGGCTCGTTAAAAAAGTTATGTGAAAACATGGTTTATATGAATTCATAGGAAATGTATGTTTTATTTTCTTGATGATTTCATATGGGTTTATTTGTAGTTCACAATATCTGGGAAGTGTTAAAAATATCTTCCATATTGCAGCTTTGCTCCCAGTTACTCTGAATTGTACTTCCTTCTGTTTATATATTTGGCTGGTAGGAAAGAAAAACGTTTTCCTGATGCTTGGTCCAAGCAGGAACTCTCTGGTGGCTTGAGGAATGGTTGGCTTTTCCTCAGCTCATTGATCTCTGGGGTGACCGCAGGCAGTCCCCAGAAGACCCTAAGAATGAGAGACCCGAGGTCTACAGGGAGCTGCTAGAAATATTTTAGCCTCTCCAAGGAACAGAATGCAGCCCCGACACAAGTTCATAAGGTAAATACCAAAACCCATAGCTGTCGAGTCGATTTCGACTCCTAACAACCCTATAACCAGGGCCTTATAAAACTGGATGGCAAATGACAGCCCCACATATGTTTTTACCTTCAACATTTTGAAAATGTATTCTTTTGGAAAGACAAGTAAAGTATCACATATTTTGGGGAGTTCTTTTTACTTTTATCGAATTGTTATATTTAGGCTGCCAACCCACAGAGGCATAAAGGCTTCATTTTTAAAAAGTATCTTGAATATAATAAATTTAAGAAACCTGCCATCACAAGAATTAACTACAGATTTAATTTTTAAATCATATTTATTGGGGTGTAATATACAAAATGAATATGACAGATGTTTACACCCCAGTAATCACCACCACAATCAAAATATAGAACATTTCTGTTACCGCAAAAGTTCCCTCTTCCCCTTTTGCACCCAATTTCCCTTCACTCCCATTTAATTTTGAGTAGTTTTGTTGCTTTTTTTTTTTCTAAGTTGTGTGCAGAGGAAAAGGGTGAATAGATGTTTTTAATGTCAAAACTTAAGGCGAGGACAAGAATGAATGAATAACCAGAAATGGCAGCTAGGGCAGAAGTTCCCGGGGATGTAGCTCCCCACGCCTTAGGAAAATGGAGTGCCTAGCACCAAGACCTGGGAGGATAGTGCCTCAGGGAGGGGCGCCCAAGATGCACCCTCTCCAGGAGGGCGGGTGTGTCCACGCGGGCTCGTCCACCAGGTCTTCTCTGGTCCCGCAGGGCGCTGGGCGCACGCTGACCTCGCGCGAGCTGGCGCGCCCTTTGCTCCGGCTCTGGGCCGTGGACGCTGCCATAGCAACGGCCTGGACGCCCCGACCTTAGGCCGCCGCCGCCGCCCTCGGGGACCCGGTCTTCTCCCAATCCCGAGGAGTGCGGCGGCGGCGGCGGCCGGGGAGGCGACGCGGCCAGGGTAGACGAGACCGCCCCTTTCTCGGACGCAAGCAGAGGCGGCAGATTGCTTCCAGGCATGGTAAGACCGGAAGGCCCGGGATGCGGGGCGGGGGGCGGCTCCCCGCTCCCCATTGCGACCCCTCACCCCTGCTTCCCGCCTCGCTGCCTCTTCTTTCCGCAGCCTTTCCAGAAGCACGTCTACTATCCGCTCGCCGGCGGGCCGGAGAGCCCGGCTGCCCCTACCGCCCCCGTCCCCGGCGCGGCGGGCGCAGCCGGGGCAGCCGCCATGCCCTGTGTCCCCCCCGCCGCGGCTTCGGGGCCCCTGCCCTTCTTCCAGTTCCGGCCGCGGCTGGAGAGCGTGGACTGGCGGCGGCTGAGCGCCATCGACGTGGACAAGGTGGCGGGGGCCGTGGACGTCCTCACGCTGCAGGAGAACATCATGAATATCACCTTCTGCAAGCTAGAGGACGAGAAGTGTCCGCACTGCCAGTCGGGCGTGGACCCGGTGCTGCTGAAGCTCATCCGCCTGGCGCAGCTCACCATCGAGTACCTGCTGCACTCGCAGGAATTCCTCACGGCGCAGCTGCACACGCTGGAGGAGCGCCTGCGCCTGAGCCTGGCCGACTGCGAGCAGAGCAAGAAGCTGGTCGCCAAGCAGGCCGGGGAGATCAGGCTGCTCAAGGATGAGTGTAAACGCAGGAAAAAGATGATCTCCACCCAGCAGCTAATGATCGAGGCCAAAGCCAGCTATTACCAGGTAGGATTCAAAATCTCATAAAAAGAAAAGCTCATTCCCACTAGGTGGGACATTTTAGAGCCATTTCATATGTCACTACCCCTACTTCCCTCCTTTTTAAAGATTAGTACTGAACATCACAAACACCGTATTTAAGCAAAATCAGTAATTTTAACCAACAGATGACGTGGTTCATTATTTTCTCTAGATACATGGGATTAATGATTAATCTTTATTTAAGTCATCCAAATGCTGATTGTTGAAGAACCTGTTTCCTCTTTCTAATCGATGTAACGAAGTATAAACCATATACCAATTGTTGTTTAGATCAGGCCCCAAACAATCTGGAATGATTAAATTTGTGGGTTTTTTTTCTTCTCAGTTTTTATTTTGAAATATTTTCAAACGCAGAAAAGTTGCAGTAACAGTGCAAAGAACTTCCATCTACCCTTTACCTAGATTTACCAATTGTTCACGTTTGTTTTATTTTCTCTGTAGCTCTCTCTCTATTATTATTATTATTTTTGAACTATAGAACTATCTGCAAACTCCTGAATGTTTCAGTGTGTACTTACAAGAACAATATGTTCACTTACATACCAACCATATTTGTGGGTATTTTTAATTTCTGTTTTTCTGGTCTTAATCTTCAACTGTTACTGGTTAGAGCTAAAACTTAATATAAATATTACATAAATATTAAACTTAATATAAATATTGTAGTATATTGAGTTATAATAGTAATCTGTGTATATCTTTTTACTGATTAGTTGGAGGATGTGCAAAAATTATCGGAAGTGTTTCATGAAGATACCGAAGCAAGTAACAGATTGACAGGGTTGATTTCTCACCCTTATGTTCTGGTCATTTTGGCCAAATATGGCTTAAAAGGCCCCAGTGGACTTGGGTAATAATGAATGAATGGGGGAACTGTGGGGTCGGGGCACAGAAGACGGTGGGATTAATATGGCTTTGGACTCACCCAACAAGAATGTTGAGAGAAATGTACTCAAGATAAGTGAACAACTGGGAAATAGTATTATTAGAATGACTTAAAGCGTTATGGCTTTTGGTAGAAGTCAGTGAGGTATGATGTTTCGATGATACTTTACATCACTAATTGCCTATTTTCACTAATGCGTTTTAAGGCTAAATATCATTCACAAATACTGCTAAGGCAACTCTGTAAATATGTTTCCTTTACAATGAATAGAATGGATTCTATTTAAACATAAAAGTTTATCTTACTCTAGCTTTGGTAGTAATTAATGAAACGTCAAAACCTGTAACGTATGGAAATTTTGTTCATAAGCTTTTTCATTCTTTCACTTATCATAGAAGTGCCTGTTAGTAAACAAAGATTTTCACAGTTGAAGGATACAAGCATAAAAAACCAAACCCGTTGTTGCTGAGTCGACTCCAGCTGCCCCATAGGGTTTCCAAGGAGCGGCTGGTGAATTTGAACTGCCGACTTTTTGGTTAGCAGCTGAGCTCTTAACCACTGTGCCACTTGAAGGATATATAAGGGTAAATACAGTGACTCAGTTTTAGCGAACAAGTGACACCTGTCAGCTCTTGGCAATTCAGCAGTCCGAATGACAGTGTTATCTGTAAGGTGTCCTCAGGCATGACTTACAAGAGGTGGGAGTGGCCAGACAACCTCTCCATAGGTAGCCTAGTACAGGTCTGCCTCGCACTCTATTAAGTGGCTTGTCATTGTTTGCAGAGGCTTTGAGCAGTGTGAGCACTATAGGGCTACACCTCCTGAGTCACACTGCTTGGTGTGAATCCCAGCTGTCTCACTGTGTGAGTCATTTAACTTCTATACCTCAGTTTCCTCATCTGAAAAATGGGGACATTAGCAGTAGCTACCTGTTAGGGCTATTGTGAGAATTCCATGGGATAACGTGTGTAAACCATGTAGTTGCAGCGATGGCATCTGTTGTATGAATGCTGATTTATGCATGGCTTCCCCCCCATAGAGAGCTGTGACTAAAATGTGACCTTAGGAATTCTCAGACCTTGTTTAGGAGCTCACTGTCTAGTTGGGGTATAAAAAGGAAGGTCATAGGTCATGGTGCAGATGTTATAGTTATCAGTGAGTCAGGAAGGGGTGGTAAAGATTACCACTGAGAACAGTTGGCTTGTAAACTGGCTGGGGCTATTATATTCATTGTAACTCCAGTCTTCTAAGCTGGGGATATTTGGACTCTAATAAAACTTATGGGGAAGCACTTGGTTTTGTTTAAATAGTTATTTGGTTTTAGGATGAAGTCATGAATTCGTGGTTAATAGGGATCTTCTAATAACTGGGGAAGTCTGATGGCCACATGTAATGAGCTGGCTATTAAATTTTTTTTTTAACTTGAATAATACCTAAGATTAAACCCGAAACCCATTGTCATCTAGCCAATTCCAACTCATAACGACCCTGTACTATAGGACAGTAGAACTGCCCCATAGGGTTTCCAAAGAGTGGCTGGTGGATTCAAACTGCTGACCTTTTGGTTAGCAGCCGAGCTCTTTACCACCGCACCACCAGGGCTCCTACTAAGATGAGTGTGTGTTAAAGGCCAGCACTGTGCTTGCCAGTGGACAGTGACGGATTGAGACTCCTTCTAGGAAGACCTTTGGCTTACAGCGCCAGAAAACTCAGATTTCTCTCCATGCTCCAGCAACACAGGCAGATTCTGGAGTCTCTCAGTGAATTCATGGTCCTGGTTCCAGTTATTTAGCCCCTTGGAGTTGGAGATGAGGATCGAGGAGTAGGAAAAGGGTGTATTTTGCCATCAGAGGGGCAAAGGTTAATTACATAACTGATAATATGGTGGCCTAATGTTTCTGAGCTGTGATTTCTTGGGTAAAGTGGTTGCCATGGAAATGACATAAGATAACGACGTAAAGCACTTAGCCCAGGGTCATCTCCTATTAGGCACAAAGAAAATGTTGGTTTCTTTATCCACTATCCTCGGCCATTGTCTCTGAGAGGTCTCAAAAGCATCCAGATCAGAAAATGAAGGACAACCACGCAATACTGGGAATCGTGGCCTCGCCAAGTTGACACATATTTTTGGGAGACACAATTCAATCCATAACAGGGATGTATTCTACACTGTGGCCCAGTTTGTTCTGACCTAACTGGTAGTTACTAACAAGAACCTAGAAGTGTGTGAATGCTCTGCTGGGCTGGGCTGGGCTGCGCAGTTGGCGCATATGCTTCTGCCTAGGAAGGGTTTGGTTATGAGAAAGGGTTCTAGACTCTAACTGGGCTCAGATTCCATCTCTACTTCTTTCTCAACCATGAGACCCTGGCGAGTTAACTCAACCTCTCTGTGCCTCGGTTTCTAATCTGTCAAATGGGAATGAAAATCATACCTACCTTATAACAGTTGTTAGTGGATGTTAAATGAGTTAATGCACGTAAAGTGTTTAGAACAGTGCTTAGCTAGCTTTTATTGTTTTAGCTAAAACCTAGGGAGGGAAAACGTTCTGTGGTGTAACATAGATGCCAAAACTGACTTATTACTAAACGTGAACAGTCATGATGCCACCATCTTAGTTTTTCTTTCTTTTTTTCCTAAACAGCAAACACAAATTCTGGACTCTTCATTCCAAACTAGACCCTTGGGTCCCACTATCTTATCACTTTTACCTCTCAGAAATCTGGTCGTTGCTCTCATTCTCATACCACTTTTCTTTGTCTCCATTTCCCTTTCCTCAAGAAGTAACAAGAATCAGGTAGCTGATGTTGTTGTTGTTAGGTGCCTTCGAGTCGGTTCTGACTCATAGTGACCCTGTGTACAACAGAGCAAAGCACTGTCCGGTCCTGCGCCGTCTTCACAATGGTTGCTGTGCTGGAGCCCGTCGTTGCAGCTCCTGTGTCAGTCCATCTCGTCGAGGGTCGCTGATAGTAGATGCAAATAAAGGAACCTGCCTCTTGATGTCTTTTGGTTGTTGTTGTTGTATGTTCGTGGCTTAAATGTAATTAATGGCAATGTGTACAGTCTTTCTGCTCAACATTTTATTATGAAAAATTTTAAAGATAAAAGAATTATATATTGAACACTCATGTGGAGGATTTTAAAAATAAAAATAATGACTATTATGTTGTTGTTAGTTGCCATCGAGTTGGTTTTGACTCATGGCAATCCATGTGTTATAAACATAAAAAAAGTGCATATACATTGTCTCAGTTATCTACTGCTGCTATAACAGAAATACCGTAAGTAGGTGGCTTTAACAAACGCAAATTTATTTTCTCACAGTTAGGAGGCTAGAAGTTTAAATTCAAAAGAATAGAACAAGAACAGCGGCATTTGGGGGGAAGATTTAAAACATTTTAAGAAATAAAATTTCCCTCCTTCCATTGCTAGAGGAAACCTCTACTTTATACTTTGTAGGTATCCTTCCTCTGTATATTTTTATATGTTTTCTATTATTACATATATATGTTTACTAAACAATTGTTTTTTTTAAGTTCAAAAACTTTACCTGAGTATCATGGTTTTGGGCAATATTCTTTTTTTCACCTAACAGTGTATTTTTGAGATATGTATTTTGATAGGTACAGTGCCATATAATATTCCATTGTACTAGTAATATTAACTAACATCCGTATTGTTCTGAGTACTTGAAGTATATTAGCTCCTATAGTCCTCAAAATAAGCTTTTAAGATAGATTCTGTGATTCACTTACATATGAGAAAAATGAGGCACAGAGGTTATGTAAATTATTCAAGGTCACAATTATGGAATCCACATCTGAGCCACTTTATTTTATTTTATTGTGTTTCAAGTGGAAGTTTGCAATACAAATTAGTTTCCCATTCAAAATTTTATAGACAAATTGTTTTGTGACGTTAGTTGCAATCTCTGCAATGTATCAGCACTCTCCCCCTTTCCCTTTACTCCCCGGGTTCCCCATGTCCGTTTGTCCAGTTCTCCTGTCCCTTCCTGCCTTCTCATCTTTGCTTTTGGGCTGATGTTGCCTGTTTGGTCTCTTATACTTGATTGAACTAATA